GACTGGGATACAGGTAAGCCATGTGGTGTGGGAAGTGGCTGAGAACTTCCAGTTGGTGAAGCCCATAGGCCAGCCAAAGGGCACCACCAAGGAACACTGGTGTTTTTTTGAAGGTAAGGCCAATTCTGATGAATTTTGAATCCGCAAGGCTTGTGTAAGGGAGTACCTGATTGAGGAGAACTCCTTCGTCAAGGGTGTGAAGACCCCGTGATTGGCGCTGGACTTATGGAGCATGCTCACTGATAAGAGGGGCATGCATCTGGAGGAAGTGAACCCTGATGAGCCCCACTGGGGAGGGGATGATAAGTGTCAGTGACTGGGTGAGTGACCAGTCAAGAGACTTGGCTATACTGAAAAGACCACGGTATTGGCCTGGCTGGCAGGTGTGATGAAGGTGGGGGAGGGGATGTAGAGCCTTGTGAAGAGGACACGCTCCCTGTTGAGAGCATGCTATTTCCTTTTTGTTCCAACACAGCTTCCCTTTATTTATTTTACATTAAAGTGTGGTGGGTGAGCAGAAGGACGTGGGCAATGGCTCTCAGGAAGAGCTACAGGGCATGTTGCATCTGCTGACATTAGTATTCTGGATGTGCATCTACAGAAGTATTTTAAAAATGTAAGTAAATATTTTAGTAGGGTGGTAATGTCAGGATAGTTAAGATAATACTTGCTTATCAGCCTATTTTTTTAAAGTGCTTTAATATTGACATGCATACCTGAATTGTCTTGAAATTGCTATGCCTCATGGGAATAAGGATAGAGATAGTCATTTCAGTGAGAGGTTCCTGAATATATCCCCTTTTGGTAACTCATCATGGTTTATATGTTTTTGCAGGCACATCTACAGCCCTGATCCTCCCCACATTTATGTGACCACATGGAGCTGATCTCTGACAATCTCCAACCCCTGTGGGGAAGTAATATTTAAAAACTATATATTCAGAGTAAATGCTGATTCTATAATATAGCTGTAGGCATATGGAGGAGCAAGAGAAAATCATTTGTGCCTGGGTGACAAGAGTGGTGCTCTGTTGAAAATCAGAACGTTTTCTGTCAGCCGGACTTTAGAGCAGTGGTTTTCAACTTGTGGTCTGTGGATCTTGGGTCTGCAGACTGTCTAAGGGGTTCATGAGAAATGACTATGATCAATCAAAAGTATATGAATACCTACATTTACAGTTCAAAGGGGTTTGCACCTCCACTCAAAATTTTTTAGGGATCTACAAATGAAAAAAGGTTGAAAATCACTGCTTTAGAGTACTTGGGTAGCAAAATGTGTCAGAATATAGCCGTTGATCCTGGGCAATACTCATGTACTGTGAGTTTAGTCCCTGTCCCTTACAGCTTTCTGGAAATGTGTATTGTACAGAGGAACTTTTAAATGTTTTGCCATAAGAAGAAAGCATTTTGAGTAAATGTTGTTATTTCAAAGTAGTCTAAAATCCACAGGTATATTCAGATTTTGCCACAGAGGTATTGTCAAGGAAAGTGCCAACAATTAAATGGAGGAAAGATAAAAGTGGCAGCTTCAGAATGTGATTATGCTATAGGTTCCTCATGTGTTTCTTGAATAATGGGACTGAGAGTGATCAAAGAAAAGCAAGTAGCTTCAACTTGTATCAGAGTCCATATGATCAAAAGGGTTGTGTCAGATAAGTGCACCTATATTAAACCACTTTTCTAGCTCTGGTTAATGTGGCAACACAATATTTTCATCAGTCAAAACAGGTTTATCATTAAATAAAAATGTAGAAAACAATGTTTCTAAAATACTAAGGACTGCTTTCTAAAATATTTCATTCAATCTACATAACTAGGGGTTCACACCAGTCACCCCTAAAAGTTCTGTAGCATCTTGGGTTACAATGGAAATGTCAAATACTAGAAAAAATCAGTCTCAATCACACTAAACCTCCAATAACATCCCCCCCCAAATGCTTCAGAAAAAATCAAATGTTGCACAAAACAAATCAAAACACAACAAAAAAGTTTAAAAATCACTGATTTGTTTTCCATATTAAAAGGGAAATTCTGGAGTAATTTTATCTGTGATGGGGTGGCATTACCACTTCACCACAGTAAAGCCAGGGGTATAGTTAGCAGTGGAAAGCACAATTTGATCTTTAAGAAGCAAGGAGAATTCGAAGTACATGCAGATGAACGAAAGAACACTGTTGTGCTCATCCAAATGCACCCAAAAAAGGTAACTCGGCAAGAGTGCTGCTATGCTGGCTAGCACTGAATATATTTTGAACATGAAGTACGCCTAAGAATTAGTTGCCATCAACAGATTCAACAGACAAAAAGGCTAACATTTCTATGTGTACATTCAAATATCTCATAAACACCATTCTGTGGGACACAGCAGAATACATAAAAATAGCACATGTTCAGCATTCCTTTCATATCTTTTGATGAAGTGAGCTTGGGCTCTTAAAGCTTATGTTATACATCTCTTGATTTAGTCAGTCTATAAGGTACAAATCTACCTTGTCTTCTGCATATTAGGGAGGCCATGGCTGAAACATCCTTTGGTTGTTTTCTCCAGTAGCTCTTGCCTGGAAGCAGAGTTAAGTGTGTGGGATGAAGCTGGCTTCCTAACTCCTTATTTCCTGGTTTTCAGACATTTATAATAAAATGTAAGTGTATGCTGCACTGTGGACAGTGATGTGAGGCTCCTGGTCGCTCTTAACTCTGCTTTAACAAAGTTTTTGAGCAGTGAAAATGAGTCAAATTAATCTGCAGCATGAATCCATCGACTTCAAAGAATGCATTTGTTCCCAGTACATGGAGGGCCTGATTTTCCTCCAAATTTCACCTTGTCTTGTTTCCATAGGGGGGTGTGTGTGTGTGTGTGTGTGTGTGTGTGTAAAATCAAACCATTACTGTGACTGGGGAATTCTGATTATTTACTTTGATTTCAGCAGATGTAGACGGGTATAAAGTATCAGAATCAGGCCCACTCTGTTTACATGGGCTGACTGCTAAGTAGAGCCCAGTGCACGGTACATTTATACATCTTGTACTTAGCTCACCCTAGTGCAAGTAAGGGGGAATGCATTTAAGATCCCCCTGCACCTGTGGAGGCAGCTGTGCTAGCAGTTTTGTTTCCTCTCTGGAGAAAGCAAATGGCAGTATTGGAATACCATCAGAAAAGGCAAACTACAGTTTATAGCTTGGGTTCCATATGAGTCCTATTAGCAGAAGGTGTTCACCCAGCCAGCCCTTCCCACTTTTGGCCTGCATTGATGCAGTAAAACTTGTGTTTTTATTTTTTCCTACCATCTCTACCATACAGCTGTCCCACAGAATAGATTCTGATAGTGGTTACAACTGTCTCAGCCCATCTGGCACATGGACTTTCTACCAGAGGGAGGACTACATCCTGGATTCTCCACTTAATTCCTGGAAGAAGCAAGGACATGAATGATGCTCTTTATCTGAAAGACTTGGGTAAGCATCAACATAAAAAAAAAAACAAACCATTGAGGACAGGCTTACATAAGCCAAAACCCACATGCATTATAATCCATGTTGGCCCTATAAAAGATATCTCATCCTCACCTACTTTGTCTAAATAAAGCCTTCTCCCCAGGAGCAAATATGACCCAGAAACTAGACAGGCGCAGGGTAGACTATTATTCTCCTTCAGCTTTTTAAAATAGTTTACATCAGAATTAGGTTTCTATAAGAAATTAGAAGATACGAGTGTCCTTTCCTTCCCTCAGTCCCACTGCTCTGATGGAGGGCAAGCGTGTTAATGCAAGTCACTCTCTTAACTCTCTTGCTGCAAGGCTCCGGAAATGGAGTATAAAGGCAAACACTTCCTTCTGCTAAGTTTCCCTTGAAACTGTTTTAAGGAATGTTTTTTTTTTATCCAACATTTAACTTAACAGGTACACTGTGATTCAAAGAAAACAAGCAGTTTCCAATTCAAGGGCTTTTGAAGAGAGATGGAGAAGCTGGCAATGTAGTAAATGGTGTTACAGCCAAGAAAGGGGGAAAAAGTTAGAGCAGTTTGCATTAGTAGATTCTGGCAGCAGTTATCAAAATCCCACATGTCTCCTTGCTGATGTATGAGTAATGACACGGCATGATGTTTATGGACAGCTTGTGCTCTTGGAGAGAAAGTGTAAAGAAGAAGTGTCACTCTCTTTTACCACAAGATGTCACTAGCACTGCTCAAGTGCTGAATGTGTATTGACAACAAGTCGCTGTTCATATTACTAGCAAGGTGCCTTTAATTTTTTTTTCTCTTTGTAGATGGTTCTGCAGTTTCTTTACTGATAGGGATGATGCAAAAAAATCTTTTTTTTTTTTATTCACGTGCATTTCAATCCCTCCTGGGCGTCTAGCAAATGGTTATGTCTCCTAAGGAGGGTAAAAAGGAGGAAAGGACAGGGGTGACAAAACTGACTTTCGCATGAGCGTGTGTGGACGATCAAAAAGATGAGAGAACATGTTCTCACAGCCTTGTAACTTGGTTAATAAACTTTATTCATGACCTTAATCCCAGTTTATTAATTTTAGATACGAGTTGCACAGTAATTGCAGTTGTTAAGAGAGTATTGGGTATTTTTTCCTAGAGGGGATCAAATACTGTGTTATTATATATGCACTAAATCTCCATTAAAAGGCTCTCTGTAAATGTTTCAAGGCTATGGCAGATAGAAGCGTACTTCATCTTGGTTCCCGAGTGTGATATCATCTATTTTAAACACCCTGCAATAACATACTCCTTATTTATCTCTTGCAAAAAATATAGTGGCTTAAGAACAGTTTTTCTTTCTTTTTTTTTTAAAGGAAGGCATAAATTGCCATTTTGTGACAGAACAGCTGTATCATTCATTAGCAGATTTGAGTTAAAACATATACTTTATACGTGGGCCACTGTCTGACAACATAGCAAAATAAGAAAAGCAGTTATAGGATGGTAACATACTCTCCCTACTCTAATTTCCTCCACTTTCTTATAAATCACACTTTTCTGAAGCTGCTGGAATTTCTTTCACACTTGCACTGAACTCATGTTTTATAGTCCATCTTTTAAACTGGTTGCTCTGACAGAACAGACAACTTAAAAAGATGCTTATCTACATATTGTGTCCTCAAATGCAAGTATGTATGAGTGTGTATACATTTATACAATAGGATTGGATGTTTTAAAGAATAAATGTTTCATGGTAACAGTAGTGAAATAATATATAAGAAATAAGTCAATGGAAGTTGAGGATGTTAAGCAAAATGCAAAAATGTAAAGCACATGAAGGAAGGACTTGGCCATTAAGGCCTGGTCCATAGACCACTGAAGTCATTGGAGAGACTCCTTGCTTTCAGCAAGCTTCAGATCAGGGTCTTAAAGAGTAGATTAGGGAGTTCAGGAACAGTAATGGTACAGAGGCCTAAAATGGAGAGCAGTAGTATCTATGTAAGTTAAGGACTAGTGACATGAGCTGTTTGTGTGTGATGAAGTATTATGCTTAATTTTATTTTTTATTTTTTTATAATTTTTTCCCATAAATATCTTTCCAGGGAGAAGTTAACAAGTTTGGAGAGAAGTCTGAAATCTTTTCTCATAACTGGAATGGCTGAGAATCGCAGTTCTTCTGGGAAACTCAGTAAGTTTGAGAAAAGTCTCGAGAAGGATTTTGTATTTCCTTTTTCTTTTACAAATACTAAACTACCTAAAATGAAGTAGTTCTAACAGTATTCCTGTTCCTCCTGATATTAGGAAGCGAAGCTCTTTTCAGGTCATAGAAGTCCAGGATCATTTTCAGAGAAGCATACACATTCTTCTTTTTCAATCTTCACTAGACATTTTGGGGTCTGATCCTGTGACCCCTCTGATACAAGTTATCCTTATGCACCCAAGAGCCAGACATGTGAATAAGTATTGAAAAATGTGGCCCAGAGTCTGCAAATGAAAAGCATTAGATCCAATAGACAGGCTATGTGTCTGGTTTAGCTCTCAGCTCTATTAATATGTCCATTACTTAAATGAGTGAGATAACAGGCCTGCCCTAGAGTACCAACCTCCCAACTATCCCATTACACTAGGCCCCAACAGCTTGTTATTTCATCCCTGTTCAGCAGCCTGTGGGATGTGGGATAAGCCTATCAGTGACATTGCCACAACTTATTTCTGAGTAGTAGGATTGTCTAAATGTGTCGACTAGATAGCACAATAAACTTCCTTCTTTTTTTATCTTTTTTTTGTTGTTGAAAAACTTTTTCTCCCACCCAAAGAGCCATTAGCCTTTTAGTCTCAGAGTAATGGTGCTTCAGAAAAAGATCAAAGTTTCTCAGATAAGTGTTCCTTTACACAATGTTACTGACACTCCACTTTGTAAACAGGCTTCCTTTTTTATGGTTAAAAAGAACATATAAACATGCCAAGTGAGACGGATAGACTGCTGCCTTCCCCCCAACCCATTTTCTCTTTGTATGTGTGTATGTGTATTAACTGCTTAATGAGCATCGTGGTTGACTTGTTCTGATATAATTGAACTTGGTCTGTCTTTGTATAAACAGAGGAAAAAAATGAGGGTGTAAGAAGTAATGCCACAAATAAAGTGAGTCATAAGAACAACTTTACACACTCTGGTCTCTTTCTTAAGGTCTTTAGTGGGAAATGGCTACCTTGTCTTTCCGAAATTAGATAGGAGTTTCTACACCAAACTTCATGGGTAACTGAGGTAAGTCTTGGGGTCAGATATATATCATGTTATGCTACAGCTCAAAAGCTCCTTAGATGAAGGGACCAAATAAAAATTATATTGGAATTAGGAGTCAAATGCTATTATTTGTGTCATTTCAGTATGTGGATATCAATAGAGGATTGAAAACACTTTGATGCTACACAAGTTGGGCACACAAGGAAGGAGCATGATCTGAGGATAACGCAAAACAGAAAATATATTGGTTGGTTCTAATTCCAGCACTGCCTAGATTGCTTTGTGACCAAGGGAAACTCCTGTAACCAACTCAGTGTTTAAAAATATAAAATGGGAATAAAATTAGAGTAATACTTACCTATCACATGTGACTGTATTCATTAATATTCACAAAAGGTTTTGTATCTTTATATACAAGATGCTACAGGAAGGCAACATATTATTGTTATTTCCCCAAGAATCTGAATTTATAATTACCAGAGATTTTTATTTTTAATTATTGCTGATAACCAAAATATACTGAACTTGCTGGTCTGTAAACACTGACATTATTGTGAGGGAAACAAGAAATTTACACTGACTTCTAGAAAGTAGCCCAAGCAAAATCTTGTTCCTGAACACACAAGGTGCAAAAAAATCAGAGGTTGGTGTGTGTGTGTGTGTATGTGTATGTGTGTGTGTAAGAGAGCGCAGACACATCCATTTTTTTGTCAGATCCAAAAAACCTGAATCCAGATCTGAATTTCACATCTAGCCCTTCTGTTTACAGTGTGTCAAACCAATATCCCAGATCCTAACACTCATAGATGCCTGGGAAAACAGTGCTCATAATATAGATCTGCATTGAAATTTTGCACCTTGACTTCATCAGCAAAGGCTTCTGCCTGCATGATGTCTGGCTTGCAGGTAAAGAGTGAGTATGGGTCTAGCATGATTTGTCCTTTCAAACTTAATTTCTGTTTTAGTCTTCTCTCCTTATCCTTTCTATGAGTGGAGACTGCTTCCTGTCCTGGCATGCCATGCTTCCAATTCTTGCCTTTCAAATCTCTCCTTAAAAATCGTTTCTTTCATGAAACACATGAGCATCACTTTGTATCAGACAAAAAGATAGTTATTCAACCATTACCAAAACATACGACCTTCCTTTGACTCCCACCTTGTGTTGTGTGTTGGTTTTCTACCTGGACTCTAGGGGCACCGATGCATGAGCAGCACGGTTGCTCTGATGCGCTGTAATTAGGGTGCAAATCAATCACATCTTCTGGAGCATGGTAATTACTCTGCTTCAGTAGTTTCCAGCGTCTCGTGTATCAGCATCCCTACCCCCAAAAATGGCAGCAGGGGTGCTTTAACTAAAGCTTGTCAAATGCTCTTTAAAGTGCCCCGACTGCCATTTTTCAGGGTAGAGACGCTGATGCACAACACGCTCCAAAAAACACCCCTCTTCCCCCCAGTCCCAGAGCACATGTATATAAACACCCTAGGTTCCTCAGAGCAAGAACTATGTTATCTTCTGTGTCCATCCTAGCTAATTTTGAGCACAAGTGTAATACATTTCTTTAAAAAACAGGACGCAAATAATTTTTTCAGAATGAAGCAAAACCTATCTGTTCTCAGGCTGAAGACATTATTAATTAAGGTGTATATTTTCACTCAGCCTGAATGTTTTACTCACTACCATACTAACTGGAGCCCTAAATTTATTAATTATAATTGTTGTTGTTCCGGCAGTGTCAAGAAGCCCTAGTCATGAATCCCACTTGTGCTTGGCTCTGTAGGAACAGTGAACAAGAACAACAACCATCCTCAAATACTTTGCAATCTAAGTTTAATGTGAAAGACAAGAGATGGATACAGCCAGATGGCAGAAGGAATAGTGAGACAAGATTGGCCAGCACAATAGGTAGTGGTGTTAGCACAACCCCAGCCTCACCATATAATCTTTCTGTAATTTTAGGGAGGGGCTTGCAGTTGAACTATGAGCTGGCTTGGCAGATGGTTAGGGAGAGTACTTCCCTGATGCGAGAAGCAGCATAAGGGAAAGCACAAAGTTGACCGGTTTTAAATCTATTGAGTTTTTATTGTGTTCACAGTGGTGGCTATACCCAGCCAGCTCTATTTGTTACAAATATATTGGGGGTATATACATTTTATAATACCATGTCCTTCCTTCAGAAATTCTCCTAACAATGTGATGCATCTTCTTGGTTTACCTTCCTGTGTTTTACAAGGGAAAGAATTGTGCTGCTTTGTTGAAATGGGAGAAATAATGGTGCACTCAGTTTCTGTTAAAAACCTCCTACAGACTATTTCAATCTGTAAACAGGATAAGTACTATCTCAGGTCTCATGTGTTAAGTGCTACATTTGATCTGCTGAACAACCCATTGCTTAGCTTCTCAAGAACATTTTTTTTCAACTCTGAGGCATGGAGTTGCTGGATGAGCAAACCACTGTCTTACTGATGGAACTTTCTCTACATCAGTTTGCAGTCCTAAGAAAAATGAATTGGATGATCTTGGTGTTGGCTTGGTCCCTAATGTCCAACAGCAGTAGATCACTTCACAGAAATGAGCCATGCATAATTTGGCACTGTTGACAGAAGCCTCACCAGCAGAAACTTAGGGCTTTGCAGATTTGAGACAACATGAAGTGAAAATCACCTTGTGACCCTAACCCTGGAGGTTCCTCTGAATTGTGACAGTGGAGGCCACTGTAGGTCAGTGTAAGCTATCTCGATATAAGTACAAGCCAGTTCAGGTAATTTTGGATGCTGCTATGGACTAACGTTAGGCTCTTTGCGCCTGAAGCAAGGAAGTGTTCCTTAAGTTTTGTTAGAAGAATCGCTACTAATTTTGAACTGCCTCTCTTTTTTTTTTCCTCCCCTAAGCACCCAGTCCACCCTAGTGAACCAACAACCCTGACAGAGTGCAGAAGTAGGCTGCATGTATCTTCTGATGGAACTGGCAGAGAAAATCGGACACTGGGACAAACAGCCATAAATCAGGACTGTCCCGATTAAATCAGGCATGGCTGGCAAGTAAGTTATTAGCCGCCTGTGAAACTAATTGTGATACTGATACACTCAATTTTGCTGTGTCTTTCAAACACCAGTTGTGATCGGAAACATCTGTTAGCCCCCTCCTCCCTTCTGAAAAAAGGAGAGAGAAGAAAAAGAGAGAGCTTCAGATTTAGAATCATAATAATGTCTGTCTTCTCTATTCCCTTTCACAAAAGCTCTTAGATTCTCCTATTCTCCTCTAGACAATTACTCACAGCAGGCGGGGTCAGTCAGGATGAGCACACTATTGCATTTAAAGTTCATCTACTAAAGGGAGGGGGAAACTCAGAGAGAGAGAGAGAGAGAGAGAGAAAAGAATGCTTCCCATTAATGTGTGAAAAAATGGCAGGTTTAAAATAGGTTAGGAATTCAGGTTAAAGCAAAAAAAAAAAAAAGTCACGTGACAATAGTTGGAGAAAAGATATTGTTCAGCAGTATTGTTTGCCTGTACACTGTGTTCATAATAATGTATGTGAAGGGATATTAATGCCTGTGTTTATTCAATGGCTGAACTGCGCAATTGTTACAAGGTGTTTGTGTAGAAAATCGGAATGCTTTTAAAAATAAAGAAAAAGGACTAAATCCTGCTCCTAGGAAGTTAGTGGCAAAAGTTTACTGACTTCAGTGTCAGCACCACTGATACCCAGTGAAATCAGTGGTATATCTCAGATACACACTGACGTGAAAGCAAAATTTGGTCCTATAGTATTTATCACTGCCAAGAGAGTTGTTCAGTTAAATCAAATCAAGTCTATATTACCTTTATAAAAGATAAAACACTTCATGTTTCATGGTATAAATCAACCACTTAACTACATGGAGTTAGAAAGATGCTGCCCCTCTCCCTCCAACTGAAGGATTTTTTCATGGTGGTTTTGCATCCTTCTCTGAAATATCTACAGTTGACTATATTTGGTGATTGGGTCCTGGACTTTCTCGGCCTCTAGATTCATCCAGATTAATTCCTGTGTTCTACAATGTCATTCCCCTCATTTTTTCCTGGTTTTGTCTGCTTCTCTTTTATTGCTGTTCTTTTTTTCTTTTTCTTTTTTTTAAACTGGTATTGTAGCTATAAATGAGCAGAGAAAATAAAATGCATTAGCTAATAAATTAATGCAGCTTTAAGCTATTCAACTAGTTGGAGGGAGAGGGGGAAGAAAGACCTGAGTGCTTAGCTTTCAAGAATCTAACCCCATCCTCTTAACTTCGACAGTATTATTTCTGGTTTCCTGTTTGTAAACCAGAAATGTTTATTTATGATGTTTTGCAAGACAGTTTTTCAATTGATAATGCCTGTGTCATTACATAATGGCTCATAAATGATGTTAGTTGTTCTAGAAAAACAGAAAGTCATCAGATATTTTCTTGTTTTTAGTTTGTCTTTTGTGGCGGGAGTTAGTCAGCTGCAGTTGGGAGGTCTCGAGACAAATTATAAACCTTCCCAGTAGTCTCAGCCCTGGTTTACCCAGAGTCTATCAGGACTTTATGACTGAGTAGATCCTGATGTTAAACTTTGTTAGTGATGTTTTGTTTTGTTTTTTAAATAAATGGCAAACCCTGCAACTTAATGCAGAGTATCCACTGTTTGTCCTAAGAGTGTCAGGCATTGCTTTTTGAACAGAAAGGCGATGGCACAATATAAATATATGAATTCAAGACATGAAAATATATTTGCTACTTAAAGCATGTCAAATGTAAGTATAAAGTGATGTGCTGATCATGAAAGTGAACTGTACCAGTAGCGAAATATATCAATAGTCTTTTTCTTTTCCAACTCTACATTCACATGGAATTAAATTTCTTCCAGGATAATATGACCTGAAGCAGGCGGGCATCAAACCCTGTGAGTTTCAACTATAACCCTGCTGGGTTGATTGGGTCCAAGGTTAATATAGTGCTTCAGTGAGTTTCCTGATCTTAACTGCAGCAAACATGGGGGCGTACAAGTGTAGGAGTGCAATTTTTCATAGTTTTGAGACTCATGGCTGCCCGTTTCAGCCCCCTCTCCTGTCAGTAAAACTGGAATGAATAAAATGTGCATAATACTCAAAGAAGGTGTAATCCTTATTCCTGACCTGAAGTAAGCTCTGACAGGCATAAACTGAGAGTGTTGCTGTACAGCCTGACCTCTCCTAGCTGGGGGGTCATGTGGCAACATTACAGATTTCCTCCATTTTAAAACGGAGGGAGGATGTAGAAAACAGTTGTTAAGCCAAAATCATGGATACAATTTTGCTCTACCCTATAGCAATGTGTCTGTCAGGAAGAAGTCCTCTGAATTTGTGGTGTGCTATTCCTGAAGCTGATGGAATCAATTTTTTAGTTCTAAAAATAAGTGAATAGAAAAAGAGGTAAAGCCAAAATGTATATAATAAATGTATACCATGTTCCTTATAGCTAGGGAGGAACCCCTCCCTAATCAGAGTGTCCTGCCAGGAGCCTGGCCACATAGCCCTCAGCTCAGCACTGGAAGGGAAGGGAGGGTTGCTCTAGCACCCCCCAGCTTCTAGCTTGAGCCACTAGAGGCATGCGCTTGCATTTCTGGAATGAAAAGGGAATGTTTATCCACCTCCAGTTTGGTTCAAGCTTTGCAAGTCAAATTAAACTGCAAAGATTGAATCAATTCAGGCTCAGGCTTTTTGAATGTCTGCCCCTAGCCTATATAAAAATTGTGTCCTGTAAATTAAGGGCATCAATGCCAAGCTTACCTACATTTTTCTTAGTTGATCATCTTCAGGCAAAAGAGGGGGAAAAGATGTGTATTTTCACAGAGCCAGCAAGGGACCTGTTTAAGTCAGAACCATCAAAAGTTAAAGAAATGGAAAATAAATGCATCCTTATCTCAAGTCTGTGTGTAGAGCTTTCAGCTTCTCTGACTTAGGATCCACCTGGGCCTTCAGTTTCCAGGTTACATGGTGCACGTTTCATTAGGGGCTCCAGGATAGTGCCAGGCTGCTGGGGTGGCTTTCTGAATTGCTTAAAATGGATGATCCATATAAGTCACCAGTGTATTCCACTGATGTCAGTGAAGCTGCATCACAGATGTATACGGTCCAATCAGTGCATGTGAATGTAAGCAGGAGCTGTGTGGCCTCATGTCAAATTTTACAGCTGCCGTCGATTATTTGCTCTGATAAATTAGCATTAAGAAGCAGCAGGATTTCAGTGAACACCTGATGTAATTTCCAGCTATACACAAAGCAATACTGTACTAATAAAACATCCTTTTAGTGAACTACATACTCAAAGGAGTTTACTTTCCTCTGTTAAGAAATATGCAACCATCACAAGTAATATTGCTGACAAAGGTTTCGGTTAGTATGCAAGGTCAGATTACCCACATCTTTCATAATATAGGTGAGTGATGAAAAGTTGTTGAGTTCAACCAGAAGTAAGGCTCCAGTTCAGCAATGTAGTTAGGCCGGAGCCTGCTAACCATAATAGGTCTGCTTATGAGCTTGTTGTTAACTACATGTGTAAGTACCTTGCTGAATCGGAACTAAGTTGTAAAGATATTCTGTGTATTCTGCCTGTAAAATTTAACCTAGATGCCAAACATGCACGTAAAGACATCTTTTAGCTATCCACATTAGCAATTAGAAATCACAGATCAAATGAATATTGCAAATCAGAGAGGTGTGTGTAGAGCAAGAGTTGGAGCTTTTTTCTATAGCTCCTTGACTATCTGTGTCATTATTAGTTTTTAAAAATTCTGTTTATTGCAGTTTTTATTACTCATGAGCTTAATAAAATTTTCTTGATAATTATACTGCAAATCCTGCATGCATGCACCATACAGGCATGCCACAGTGAGGCTGTAGGAACCTTTAAAATGTACATTATGTGAATCTACCAGATCCCCATGCCACACCTGTAATTGTTAGCTTTAATTGTCTGTTTTAGACCCTCTCCCTGCAATGAGCTTCACATCCATTTCTCAATGCAAGATTCTAGCTTTTGCTTGTAGAGCATTTAAATACTTAGTGGTGGATAAAAAAAAATCAATTTACTTGTGAGGTGACAATATAATCGAGCATATTAGAATTTGTTGCAGTTAGGAAAAGAAAAATTGAAAGTGGAAGCAGCCTTGATTATGCCAGGGATTGGTAGAATGCACAGAGTCAGGCAGCTGAAAGCGAACTTTTTTGTATAACCCAGATTATGTGTGATCTCAGTGCACTTTCTCTCTAGGACTGACTTGGTTAAAGTGTTGAGGGTTACAGTTACTCACCCCCCCTCTGCCACCCCACTGGCTGGGCATCCCCCACAACAGAAGCCACAGCAAAGTACTTTTTGAAGTCCCCCAATCAAATAAGAATCATTCTTTCCCCCCTGCTTTTCCCTCTGTACTCAACAACATGACCCCTTCCCTTTACTCCCTCCATCCTCTGCTCCTGTCCCTGGAGCGGGGTGGGGTGGGGAGGAGGATGCAGAGCTGTTTCTGTCCCATTCCAGCTGGGCTGTGCATGCAGGCCATTTTAGCCAGAGACAGCAGTGGCAGCAGCATTAGTAGTGCATGGGTTTCCTTCCCCTATGCCTGCTTCTAGCTGTCCGGGAACACTCAGGGGGACCAGGCAGGGAAGAAGACACTGCCTATTGCTGCCGCTGTCCCCAGCTGAGGCTGCTTCACTGTGGAGCCCAACTGGAGCGGGACAGGAACAACTGTGAAACCTCCAGGTCAGTGAGGACAGTGGCAGCAATGGATAGGGGAGCAGCATAACGGGAGGAGATGGGATGTGCCACAGAGGAGAAGGGAGCAGGGGGAAGGCTTACATTCTTTGCAGATTAATTAAAAGGCCCTGACTGCTGCTCCATCAACTAACAGCAGGGTCCACCTTCTCTGGATCTAGCGCTGAAAGCAGCCTTCATTGTGTTCCATCTTCTGTGGCTGTGATTGATTGGAACCAATGTGTTTTTCTCTTACGTGTTTGTGGGCCTTGTGAGTGAAATGCCTATTCTTTTACTCTTTCCAGAGACACATAGCAATGACAAGGAGGCTTGGGGAGTGATCAAGTGGAGAGAATAAAGGGAAGGGCCAGTGGATTAATCTGCATGGGATCCACTAGCCATTGCTTCCTCATAGAGCATGCCTACTTCAGCTAAACACTGAGAAAAATTCTACCCACTGTTTCTTGCAATATACCCATATACAACTTCAGAGGCAGCTCGGTGGTATGGCTATGCAAGAGTGAAAAAATGCTGGCTTCTAATAGTTAACTGGTGTCCTGTAGGGAATGGCTTCCTTATTTTAAAACATTTTTTTCAAACTTGTCTTTCATACAGAATATGAAATGGAACAGTAGGTGTTTTGGAACCAGAAAGAGAAAACAGTCTCCTGATGTTGCTTAAAATGTAGTTTCATAGGTGCACCATCAATAATGTAACTACAGTTCATAAGGTTCTTAGGCACACAGCTTTAGTACACATGCAAGGCAACTGGATTGACAAGACAGACCATGATGGCTCCAAAGGGTCAATAAAACATGCACCATGAAGGATTTACACAATAGACAGTAATGGCTTCTTTGGAGCTGTTACGGTCTATTGGGTCAATAATAATCCACTTTTTAAAGAGTGCCAAAATATGAATTTACACAACAGGCCATAATGGCTCCTGATCTATCAGATAAATGATACGAATTATCAACATTAGTGCCTACACTGCAATGTACATTTACCTATTATAGTGGCCAGAGTAAATAATACATGCTCCAAAATATGCGTTCATTTTTAAGACTGACTTCTAAAACATCTCAACACAATACAAAAAAAAAGCAAAAACTATAATGATTAAAGCGGTGATAGATATCAGTGCATGTCAAGAAGGATAATGCTGAGGCTGCAGTTCTGTTTTAAATGCAAGTTACTGTGGGTTTGTTTTAGTACTGTTAATTAAATAATTTATTAAGCATATCTTAGCTGTCTTTTGGTTATTTGCCTTACAAACTTAGGTTCCTGGCCTGCAAAGCATTTCTTGCATGAGTTACCCATTAAGTCCCACTGTACCCAGTAAAATAACTTAGGTGAGTAAGAACTTATTTGGTGAGTGATTGTTTGCAAGATCAAGATTAACAATCTCTTTAAATAGCTCATGTTCTATTTGGATTCATCTGTCTGGATAGTAGTTGTCTATGTGGTGCAAACATCTTTGTTTTTCTCTGTCTCATCTTATAAATAAGAGATAGAAAGCCTAAAAATATTTAATTTATACCAGCAGGTGGAGACATACAGTAACATCTCCAAAAATAACAAAACTTTACAGCAAATAGAGAGAAAACACAAGGTACACTAAAATGAAATATGCATTGAAGAAGGAAATAATGAAAAGTGTCTCTCAGCAAAATATTAAGTGATGTTATTTCATTTCATCTAATGAAAAAAAAGAGTATGTGTAAAGCATTATAAGTCATTTGTTTTCCTTGTTCCTGTGCTATATTTTTTGTTAAAATTAAATATTTGGCTTAGTTGTAGAGTACACTTTTAATTTAGAAAAGAAAATTCTATTAAAATAGCATCCACAGAAAGCTGTCAGAAAGCTCTCAGTATGCCTACTGCAATAAACATAATCAAAAGGGCAGGTGCGCTCATGCCTACAATGCTGTGGTGGAAAATTCACGTATACATACTTAGCCAAGTCCTTTCAAACAGAAGTGTGAATAGTTGTTGTTTTGCAGCAGTCTCTGGCTGCCCTATGCTCTTTTGAAGCAGGTGCTCACAGTCAAGTATACTCACTTGAAAGGGCCCTTTAGTTAAACACACATGCATACTACACACATGCTCACGTGCGCATGCATGCGCGGGCGCACACGCGCACACACGCACACGCACACACACACACACACACATTACAGTTTAATCACACGAGGCCAAAGCCATTGCTCTTGTATCTTCAAAAACAAAATAATTTAACATTCAAAGAAGCTGACGAGCAAATAATTCTTGGATTCTATCCTATTTTTGACATATTATTTAAAAATATCTTCTCTGAAGGTATGGGTCTATCATCTTCCATTTCTATTCAGATTATAGGTACTAGCTACCTGTAATTGCTCAGTGTGTGTGGTCTGTGCTTATAGAATTCCTTACCTTCGATATCATGTCCTCTGGAAAATTTTGGGGTGTTTGCAGCATCTGAAGTATGATAACTTAACACAGTAAAATATGAGTCTTGCCTTGCTTAGCAGGGAGCTGAGAGCAGAATAGCAATATAGAAATGCTGAGGATTTTTATTTTTTTATTTTTTTTACTTTTGCAGTGTCTGTTTCCTGCAAATATCTGCCATCTACAATATTGACTGGTTTATCAGGCAGCAGGTATCTCTATCAGTCTATCTCGAATTGTCATCCAACAGAAGATTAAATGCTGCCTGCCTCCTTCTTGTGATTTTTTCAGTCTTCACATCACAAAGTTTTCAATCAAATTTCAGCAGTGTACATTTAGCTCAGAGAACTCACGGTACTTATCTTCCTAAAGCAGGTGATTTAGACTGTGTTTACCTTGTACAATTCCAAGATATCTCTCAGCAAACCTGTCCACATTTAGGCCTTGAAATGGTTCCCAAGTTCTTTTTTCCTTTCTCTGTCTCTTCTGCAGCTCTCTCCACAACCAGGCTACTAGCCAAACAACAACAACAACAAAGATCCTGAATAACAGACAAGTGCCAGTTTTCAGAAGAGTTATATCAGTGCAGCAACCTTGCATTGTTAGTTTTTAAAATGAAAAGCAACATAACCATATACAGCATTGTTCTAAAGAGCTTCCTCATTAATAATCTTTTGAATGCACTTATCACAGTTGCGGTTTCAGCTCATGAATCAGCTCAGGCATGAGGAGGATGTCAGCTGTGCACATTTCTTGCTTTACATCAGATACCTGAGGAAGCTGTGGTCTGTTAGGTATCCTGGAAAATAAACTACAGCTCCATTTGTAAGGAATTCAGTATGAACAAGCTGACATTAAAAAAAGGACTTCTTTGCCAATTAACATATTTTCCACATGGGGTTTTGATAAACAGACTAACTAGATTCTGAAGAAACATAAACTCGAAGATAGAGAATTCGGAAAGGTTAATTCCAGTGATCACAAAGCCAGGGTGGAATTGTTGTCTTGTGTTCTATATAAAATAATAATAGTATAAATAGAAGTAAAATGACTTTCCCAAGGACCTGTGATAGGTGACTGGTGGAGAATCAGGAATTGTTAACTAATTCTCTAACCTACAGAGATTTTAGTCTGCCCTGGCTTCAGTCAGTGTTAAGACCAGGCATGAGATCCTTATACTTAATCCACCCCTGTGTGGGAGAAAAGGCTTGGTATGATGTAAAAGGGCCTTAAAAGCTGTAGTGGTAGCTAGGGAGAAGTCTCACACTGCAGGCATTGTGGAGAATGGCTGCAGGCAGATTTCTAGGGATGCTTTAGCAGCTATAGAGGAGAACCTGGTGGAGTGAAGCTGCTGTATCCTTTGCTGCAGAGACCCCAAACAGCACTGTCATGTAGAAACTGCCCTTAGTATGACTACTGGGACTGTTTAAGATGCCATTGTCTTCCCAGACTGGCTGGGAGCTAGTCCAGCCCTCAACTGCAGCATATGACTGGCAATCCAAAAATCCAAGAGAAATGTCTAGCAGCTTGAAGGAAAGTGGATTCAGGGCTGCCATCTTTGTTCACCCACACCTTCTGAGCCAGGCATTTGGTTACAGGAGCTCTGTAATGCCAGAGAATTTCCATCTAGCAAAGGAAATCATCAAAAGGCAGGATTCACTAGTTTTAATCTACTATATACTGCCAGTGTGGCACAAAGGAGAGTTAAGTGACATGAGAATTGGCCCACCTGTTTGCTCATGAATGCCTGTGGCTCTCATTTAGTGTTAATGAAATCAATGTGAACACATCAAAGGGAAAAATATGCTGAGAAGTAAAAATCAGTGACTGGCCATTGTTAAATCAGCCAAGTTGACTATGTGAACCTAATTTTCCTCCTGTATATGCAAACTGAAAAGTAAATTGAAGTGCTAGGTGTGAAACAATCGCTTTGCTGCTGGACATGGAAAAAATTATTACTTTGTTTCTATTACTTCTGTCCCTCTGTGTCAGATTTTCCCTTCCACTTCCATAAGTGAAGCTCAGTAAAAAAGCAGTGCCCTACTTGGGGGGAGAGGGAAAGGTTGTGGCATACAGCCTCTTTCACTCCAGCCTTAAAGAACCTCTCCTATGAGCCCTGTGCAGTGCTAAGAGCCTGTAGGAGAAGGGGTAAGTAAGAGGTTGATGGCATACCATTCTCCATAACATTGTTGTCTTCAGCTCTCTAGAGGGTCCCAGGTATGAGTTAATGTATTAACTTTCACAAGGACAGCAACATTTCCTTCCCTCAATAGTGTCTTCAAGGTGCCTATCAGACCCAAAAGGGTATGTGGGAGCGGGGGGCTGGGAAACAGAGTAGATATTCAGTATCAGGGATACCAACTGTCCATAAATTTATAAATTTATGGACAGTCTGAAAAATCAAGTAAAAAACTCCTGTCCATAAAGTCAGTAAGAAACTTCTGCCCACTAAAACTGGGAAGCCACCCGAGCATCAATCAAGCTCCATGATCAGAAAGAAGCTGTTGAAGTACAGATGGAGCATAGCAGCACCACCTGGTGTGCAGGAGCACCAGCACTGCCAGGTTATCTAAACCCTTTGTTCCCAGCCTCCTCTCCCCAGTGGTGTGGGCAGACTGCTCTGTGGGAGCCTCCAGGGACTTTCAGTCTCCAAAGCAGGCAAGAATCCCTGTCCCCCTCTTCTCCATGCTCAGAGGCAAGTCTCCTGTCCTTCCCATCTCCACCCCTTTAGCCCCTCCCCTGCCTACGACTGCTGGTTTCCCTATTCTTCCAGGGGCGGGGGAAGCTTCAGAGCCCCTCCTGCCAGGCTGCATGGAGGCTGGGTTCAGATGGGGGCAGCAGCAGCAGTGGTCGTGTGCCTACTCCAGGGGACCAGGCAGGGAGGAAAAACCTGTTCATAGTCACTGCTGCTGTTGCTGGCTTCAGGTGATCCCAGGCCCTGCATATTGCAGCAGGAGTATGCAGGAGTGGCTCTAGAGCACTCCTTGCCCCTGGGACAGGGAAAGCAGCAGCAGGCCAGGGAAGGGGCCATGTTTTTGAGCACGGAGGGTTGAGCGTGGAGGGGGGAAAGGGAGATTCCTGCTTTGGAGAATTAAAAAGTTCCCAGTTGCTGGTCCTGCAGTGGAGTCCAATCTGAAAGGGTGGGGGTGCAGCCTGCCACTGTACCCCATCTGGATTCTCCCCACTCATCTCACAGGTAAGCAGCTAATCATTGGAATCTGTGCCAGGATGGGGAAGCAAGGCTAGTGGGGGCAAGGCTGGAGGCATGAATGCCGTGTGCCCTGCAGGTGGCGGCAGGAGTGTGGTGGCGGTATGTGGGGAACTCCTGCAGGCAGCCGCGGTGCTGTTGGTGGTGGGGGGGATGTGGTGAACGCTGACCTGCAGTCAGTGACCGCCCACAGACGTTTGACAGCAGTGGCCGGTGGCGATCACGGATTGCCCGCAGACGCTGCTGGTGCTATTGGCAGTGAGGGAGGTGGGTGGCAAGCATGGACAGCCTGAAGGTGCCATCAGCAGTGTCAGTGGTGCCTTGTTGTAGGGGGTGCGCCGCCACACTCGGGAGGTGCACATGCACCTGCATGCACCCCCTACGTATTGCCAATGGCTGGGGGTGGGCTTTGGGGAGGGGGTGGGGAGGCAGAGACAGCATGATGCAGGGTGAGATTAGGAGGTTTGGGGCCTGGTGGCACATTATAAAACCACTTTTGTAGTCGAGAAGGGCTGCCAAACCAAGGATTTTTTTTATGACCATCTGCAAAATTTTTACTGACTATTTTTCTGTTTGTTAAATCACTGTTTAATTTCAGTTAGGGTCAATCTTCCTCCAACTACAAGTTTCCCTCACTTTATGCTGTATGTGCATTCCTGGAAAATGGTGCATAACTTGAATTCACATAAAGGGAACCCACTTTACAGTGTAACAAATAGGGATATATTCCAAGACCTGTGCTGTATTTCAAGACCCCCAGACCTATATCTACCACTTTTACAAGCCAATTTTGATACTCACCAACAGCAGACAGTACACACAAGCATAGGGTGGTAGTGAATGTTACCACAATGGGGACGGCAACTACAGAAACACATCACAAACAATGAGTGAGGAGCACAGATGCACACAGGAGACTATATTTTGGTGCACATCACTCCCACAATGCACCGCAGAAAGCAGCTAAAGGCAGGCTTCTACCACACCGATTGCATAAGAGTAAATTTACCTCCCATATAATAAATTTTTGGTATAAAAAGGGTCATCACATAAGAACAAATTCACACATACAGAACCCACAAAAGTGAGGAAAACCTGTAGTCGTGTTATGTTACATATATATGAACAGCTGTCTTTTTAAACCATCTTTATGGCAAGTCCTTTGTGATTTTAGGTGGGGCTGGTAGTATTACCTATATTTAAGATTACATAGCTCTTCCTGTTTTAGAAACCTGTCTTCAGTTGCTTGTAACTGTCAGATAACAGCATTTGGGCTAAAGGTCCATGATGGGTATCTACCTCAGGTTTATATGATCACTGATTTCATCCTGTGGGACCAGAGGGACCTGGTACTGTCCAACCTTTTTGTTCTGTGGGACAGATGGACAATACCAGGTCCCTCTGTGGGGTGGATCTAGCCAATGGGCCTGATCTAGCTGTGGGGGGTTGTTTAGCCTGACCCTTATCTCTGCTGAGGATGAGGTGGGGGACAAGGGGGAGCTGGGCTCAGACTGGACAATCTAGACATGGGGTAGGAGGAGACTACACCCTGGTCCTGGTCCCAGTCCAGATGTGTGGGAGGAGGGAAGGGGTTGGGGATGGAGTGGCCCTTATCTGGACATGGTGGGGGAGCAGCCAAGTCCTGATCCTGATCCTGGTCTGGATGTGCAGAGTAGGGGCAGGGTGGCCCAGTCTAGATGCACCTGGAGGGAGTATGGGCAGAGCAGCTTCAATCCAGACATGCACAAGGCAGAGAGGGAAAGAACCCAGCCCCAGTCTGGTTGCACGATGGCCAGGCTAGAGCAAGGCATTTTGGCTCTGATCCGGATGTGGGGATGGGGTTAGGGCTAGTGTAAAGGGAGCAGCCCTGCCTGATCTGGCAGGCTGCATCCCCATGAGCAGAGGCATGTGGTTGCCATGGCACAAATTCATGCCACTGCTTTTTTCCCCAGTGCGTGCCTCTGCACGTGGCGTTAGCACAAGAAAAAATGCTCTGGGTAGGGTAGGGGAGGCTGGGGCCAGGCTGGGGGCCTCCTGGGGCTCCAGCAGTGGTGATCTGGGAACGCAGAGCCTGGCTGGCAGCTAGAGCGTGGCTCTGGCTGGCCAGGCTCTGGTTTCAGGCGGTGCACACTGCTGCCACATGTGCTGCCCCACATTTTTCAGGCACAGGTTTTTTTGACACCAGGATTTCCTGGTGTCAGAAAAACCCACTGCACTGCAAATTTGCAGTGTGGTGATCATCTGCATGTGTGGCATGTGCACGTTGTGGAGGTGCAGATGGGTCTGCAGTGCAACAAACTGCATGTGTGCACTCATCTGGACATGTCCGCAGGGAGCAGATCCAACCCTGATCCTGCTGCCTGGGTGAGGCTAGATCCAGCTGTGTGGAGTTTCCACTGCTCCCCCTGCCAACTTTTCTGACCTGTGGGGATCCCCATGGGTTGGATGTCATGGCTCCATGGGCCAGAAATTAAACACCCCTGAGATAAATAAGAGTGTGTGATCATGCATATATACAAAGTAGAGTGTATGGATTGGAATTACACAAGCAGTCTTAATTCTGACAATTTTTACTGTTTGGATGTTGACTTCCTTTAATGTAGTATTTTTGTGTAATTTATTGTGCTTTAGCAGTTGATAAAAGTGAATGTTTCCTTTAACACACTGAGGGTGGAAGAAGAGCATGTAGGTTGGGATGTGAGTGGGACCTGGTAACAAAAAGTCTGAGATACTGGGATTTGGGCCATACTATTGCTGTTTGAGCTGCTCCCACTAAAACAAAGCTGGGGTTTCTTTTATAAGCAAGGATTTTTGTAGTTGAATATTTTGCACTCATAATATCACCTTTCCTTTTGGGCTATCATCACAAACCAACAAGCCCCAAACCCCAGGATATTTTCCATCCTAATTAATTCTCCCAATACCTTTCTGCAATAAATGCATTGAACAGCTGGAGGAAACCGAAAGAAAAAATGACTGGAGCAAAATGCATCTTACTAGTCATCAAATCAGATGCAAATACCAATCAGGAGTACCAGGGGAAAAAAAGCCCATACTAGAACCTGAAATGCATAACATTAATTTGTGGAAGGTATCCTAAATCTTTAATCAGAGTGTTTTATTTTCATTGTAAGTTTTGTTAGGTGTTGATTCACGTATCCAGCTCTTTCAGTGCTTTGGAAAATACATGTATTTTACTTTGACAAATAAATTAACCTGTGGTTACTTTATCAGTGTGTTTTGTGTCATAGTTCTAATTTCCCGTTCACTAGATTGGGATGCAATGATTTCACGACAATGTCAGCACAGGTCTATGGAAAAGACATTATGGTGTCAAAATGAAATGAAACAATGTTAATTTGTCTATGGAAACTGTGTTACTCTGCCAAATTGAAACATAACCCTTAACTCAGCCACCTTGAGACTTGGCATTGTAGTAAGAGCAGCAGACCCCACAACACTGGGTGATTTTTACAACAGTGCACTGGGAAACTACAAATCTGGGTTAAATATTACAGAAGGTAAGACTATTTGTTCTCTTCTACAGAATCACAACTGTATAGCATTTCCTAAGGTTATAGGAACCTTTCATAAAGGGCCACATGTGTAGCAATGCCTAAAGCACAAGAAGAGAGTGGGAAGGGAGTAAAAACCCTTTGGCAGCCTCTAAGTCAGACTTCCTTTGGCTTTCGTTGGTTCACAGCATGTCTCATTTCTAACATTATATTAATGCATCTTTTTGGGAGTGAAACAGTATTAGGTTTTACAATGTTCACAGCACCTAACCAACATCTGGGACATCTGAGCTCAAATTAAGCAATGTTCTAAATCCAATTTGGATTCTAATTCCACCAGGACATAACATTTCTAGTAAAACTAGAATTTGAACATCAACCAGAATCCAGAGTGCAGGGAATACAATAATGGAGAAGGGCACTAAGCACTCTGAAATCAAAACACAAAAGTTGAGGGAAGGAGGGAGAAATAATATACATTATTTGTAATTACACACCCACCCACCCATATGCATCTATTCCCTCCACTGTTAGCAGTTATTGAGTTACAGAATCTATTTCTCAACTGTAGTTTTGTCTTTCATTTTATGTTCCTGGACAGCACAGCCACCTTTGAAAAATGGCAATCCTTGATCTTTTGCCCCAGGGCTAACATCAGCAGATGTCCTTTAGTTTCTCTTTCCATATTCAGTCCCCCTTACCTTCTAAAGCAGGAGTGTACTTTCTGAAACTGACAGGTGTTTCTCTTGTGTTGCATGGAGATGGATTTAGGCTATATGTGACCTGGAATCATCAAAATAGGGGGCCTCTAGACCGTCTCTCTGATTGGTGGGAGGGGAAGAGGCTGTTGTGACCTCTGTATTCCTGTGAAAACTGACATATCACACTAATCACATATTACACAGTAATTTTGGGTGGCTCCTGGAGCTCTTAACTCATGGATTGTCTGCATATTAACACCTTAAAGTGGTTTTAAGCATTTGTTAAGTGACTTAAAGTTAGGCCACTTCAGGGCAGGATTGTCTCTGTACCGGACTACCCAGCTTGTGTTCCATTAAGGTGCTGTCCCCATAGATGTGCTACCCAAGTCGAGGTCTTCCAGTATCCCAGGATCTCTCTCACTCCTGCCCCTAGAACAGGGCTGGAAGCCCTCACCCACAAGCCCTCTATTGGCAGCTCACAGCTACAGCTCCTAGTTGTGCCTCTGTTAATCAGGCCTCTAGTGGCAAGTCAAAACTCTGCAGATGGGGGACAGTTAGAGGTTTTTAGACTAAGAGTTTGACTGCTCCAAACTTCAAGCTAGCACTAACACTGATCAACATTTGTGCAGCTTACAGCATAAGGTGTAACCAGGCCCTTAAGATACCACAGAAAGGAAGGATGGTCGAGTGGGAAGATTGAGGAGAACTGCTTTTAATTCCCTGCTTGGGAAATCTATATGTTTTGTAGGTGGTCTTGGTCACTTATATTATACCTATATTGGAAAGTTATTATCCCTGGCACTGGACCCCATGCTGTTCAGAGTTGCCTTAGGCCCCTGAAAGATGTTACACTTAAGATGTGATTAACTGGGTAATCGTGTCTTAAGCAGTGACCTGGCCATATGTTCATTCAATTAATGATGTGATAAAACAGGGAACAAGCCACAAAGCTATTACACAAAATATGTGTAACTTTGTTTATACAGTTTACGGGGGATGGCAGAAAGGCTGCTCCTCATGATTCTAGGGGCAGGAGCAGCAGCAGCAGCCTAAACCATGCAGTAGCAGTTGGGTTATGGGAACATAATATTCTCCATCTCTCACCAGTCCTCCAACGCTGCTGCCCAAAGCATCATACTTATACAAAATATGTTTAACTTTGTGGTTTGTTCCCAGC